TGATTCACCTCATCCATGTTTCTATGTTATTAATATTGTTTATAATGTTATATTAGTTGAATTGTGATAGATAAATAAGCCATAGAGTTGGTGATAGTGTCATATTCTCCAACAATAAACTTACCATCCCTCCCTCACACAAACAAGTCTTTAAAAACATAAGAAAGGAGGAACACTGCAGTAGGCCTGCTGGCCCATACTAGGCCAGTCCTTCACAAACCCAACCCACTAACAGAACATATGCTACCCAAGCAATAAGCTCAGGTGCAAGTCCGACTCAAATCCAACCCCTCTCACTCGTGTATTTATCCAACCTAAATTTGAAACTACCCAAGCCATAGTTTTTAGAACATAAGAAAGGAGGAACATTACAATGAGTCTGTTGGCCCATATTAGGCCGGTCCTTCACAAATCCAACCCACTAACAGAACAAATGCTACCCAAGCAATAAGCTCAGGTGCAAGTCTGACTCAAATCCAACCCCTCATGTATTCCCCCCCCCCCTCTCCCCGACAAGTCGGCCATCTCCCACCGAGGCAGGGTGACCCAAAAAGAAAGAAAACCCCAAAAAGAAAATACTATCATCATCATTCAACACTTTCACCTCATACAATCACTATTTTTGCAGAGGTGCTCAGAACACAACAGTTTAGAAGCATATACGTATAAATATACACAACATATCCCTCCAAACTGCTAATATCCCAAAGCCCCTCCTTTAGAGTGCAGGCATTGTACTTCCCATTTCCAGGACTCGAGTCCGGCTATATAAAAATAACCGATTTCCCTGAATCCCTTCACTAAATATTATTACCCTGCTCACACTCCAACAGATCATCAGCACAACCTAAATTTGAAACTACTCTGTTTTAGCTTTGATCACCCTACTAGGCAGACCGTTCCACTCAATTACCCCTATTACCAATGTTCAGTTATACATTTTATTAGTGCTTTACATTTATTTGGCATTCTTTTCTGCATGTAAATCTATATTTATGCTAGGGAAGTGACCCCTGAAGTGACCTAGAGTCCTTATGGAGGGGGATTCCCCTTCCAAACAATAACCTCTCTTCCCTCTCTCCTCCTCCCTGTCTTCCATTCATCAACAGCCTTCAATAAAGGTAACTGTCATGTTGAATGTTCATTCTTTTGTGCATGTAAATCTATCTTTTAGGTAAAAAAAAAATTGTTGTTGATACTTCTGGGTGTCTGGAACGAATTAATTGGATTTACATTTCTCATGGGGAAAATTGATTCGAAAGTAGTCTATTTCGATAATAATCCTACTTCCAGGAACGGATTAAGGACGATAATTGAGGGACCATTGTATCCTATACTATTTTTTTTGTTACAGTGGCAAAGAGGAGTTGTAAGTGCCAAGTTACAAAGTACGAGCTAAGCCAGACAAGGGAGTAGCTATGAGATAGTGTCTCGCTTGTGTTGAAGATGATGCAATAACACTGGAAGAATGTGTCTCCAGGGCACTAAAAGTGTTGTATATTTACGCTATCGTAAACATTTTCGATAACATTTTGGAAAATTATATAAACACCACATATCACGTAATAGTCAGATGGACATGTATTAAACTTCCAATCGGACACGTATTTGACCATTTAGACGATCAACTGGGAATGACTGTGTGTGTTGCTGAGGGCTAGCCTAGGCATGTTGCATTTATGAAGGCTACTGTGTTAATGTGAAGATAATTTGTTTACTCTCACTAGTCACTCCAAGTTGGACGTTTAATACATGTCCATCTGACAGTCTATTATGTGTCCACCAAAAACAGACGTCGTACAGGGGTATGTGACTTAAGAGTGCCCCAGCTTAAGAGTTTTCCGAGTTGCGAGTCGTCGCTCAGTCGATTTTTTGCTTTGAGTTTCAAGCCGAAATCCGAGTTATGAACTACAGCTTCAGATACACCACCACTAGTTGGCGGCATATCTGATGTCAAATCCAACTCTGTACCCAGAGGCATGTCAGATACTTCATCCCATCCCACATGCTCTTCCAAGGATAATAATCCCACACTAATCCCAGATTGTAGTGAGGCACCTCGTCCTTTGTTTGGTTCTTGTATAAATCCAGGGAAGAGGCAACCTCCATTTCAACACTCAGTTTTTCCAGAAACATTAAGGAAGGTCTCCATGAGATTTACCTTCCTCACGAAGGTTCCTTCAGTGGGTGGAGCAGTGATGGTGGTGGGTGGAGTAGTGAAGAGTGTAGCAAGTAAGTTGAATGATTAAGCCTATCTTTTCCACCTCCGCCAGCATCTTCCGTTAGCCCAAGTCTGATCTCTGAGGTAAATACACTTTATAAAACCAGATTTTCTTTACATTCTATTTTATTATGTTTTTATACAGTATTTCTTATTTATAAATACATTATTTAAAAACCCATAACAAAAAAATTGAGGTGGTTTTTTGGAGGGCTGGAGCAGATTAATGGCATCTCACTTAATTTCAATGAGGAAAACAGATTTGATATACAGTGGACCCTCGGTTAACGATGCCATCGGATACCGATACGTTTTTGCATCAAAATATTGACTCGGCTAACGATGAAAAACTCAGTTAAGGACATTAGTCCAGAACATGTCTGCGTGGCCTGAGCCGCCCAGCCACTCCAGGGTGGCTAGTATGCCATTGTTTACAAGCCACTGCGGATGATTCCACACGTACATACAATACATTTTGTATGATTGCATTGTTTTTAGTGCTTATAACTGCTAAATAAACCACCATGGGCCTAAAGAAAGCTTCTAGTGCCAGCCAGCCCTTTGGTAAAGGGCTGAGAGAGAGGGGAGAATGTGCCTTTTTCAGTGATTCTGCAATATGTATGATACTAAAGCAACAGGAGTCTATAAAGGCTGTAGCGGCAGCCAGCAATAAAGTGTAGCATTAACTGTAGCAAATAAGTTAAGCGATTAATCAATAGAAAAAGGACAGCACTAACCTAACTCCACCAATATTGTTGGAGTTATGTAGGGCGACTGACAACACTGCCATCTCTACTGCCTCTGCTGCTGCCTCCACCACCTTTATGTACGGCTTATGCTCTCAGTGGCCTTAATACACCCAACAACAACACAGCAACACTCGTGACATACTTAATGATGTATTTTATTCATTCTAGAGTATGTCATGTTTGTGTTATTAATATTGTTTGTCATATTAGATGAATTGTGCTAGATAAATAAGCCATAGAGCTGATATTAGTGTCATATTGAAGGACTATCCTGTCTCCCAAAATAGTTCCTAACATACGCCAGAAACAGAACTCTCTGGAAAACTTTTTTGAATGACTGGGGTCCAGTGACTCAAGCTGGTCCTAGTGCCATTAAAAAACAAAGGAGGGAAGTAAGCCAAGATAAGGACTTGGTACCTGAAGTCTTTATGGAGTGGGATTCTCCTTCCAAACAATTATTAACTCCTCCATCCTCTCCCCTCCTCCTGTCTTCCATACATCATCATGTCTTCAATAAAGGTAAGTGTGATGTTATTATTGTTTTATTCTTCATGTATCATTGTTTTTTGTGTAGGGAAATGTATATTTCATGTAAAAAAATTTTGTTTAGTACAGTGGACCCCCGCATAACGATTACCTCCGAATGCAACCAATTATGTAAGTGTAATTATGTAAGTGCGTTTGTACGTGTATGTTTGGGGGTCTGAAATGGACTAATCTACTTCATAATATTCCTTATGGGAACAAATTCGGTCAGTACTGGCACCTGAACATACTTCTGGAGTGAAAAAATATCGTTAACCGGGGTCCACTGTACTACTTTTGGATGTCTGAAATGGATTAATTGGATTGCCATTATTTCTTATGGGGAAAATTAATTCGAATGACGATAAAATCGGTTAAGGACAAACTCTCTGGAACGGATTAATGTTGTTAACTGAGGGTCCATTGTACGAACAAATTGAGTTATGAGCTCGGCCACGGAACAAATTAAAGTCATAAGTCGGTACCACCCACTGTATATACATTTATGGAGCATTATCTCCACAATACACCTTAAGTTATATTAAAGATTATTTCAGCATGATAGTGTTTGTACGAGGATGGGTGGCATGTAGGTGTGCATGCAGAAAGCCCCTTATTATGCAGAGCATTTCAGGCAAACGGTTATATCATAGGACTAAGACGAAATTAATTGATGACAAATATATATGGTCTCAAGTGATTTTAACACTTACTTTTTTTTATTATTATTATTTATTATTATTTTTTTTTTTTTCTCACTAAGTCGGCCGTCTCCCACCGTCAGCCATTTCCCACAGAGGCAGGGTAACCCAAACAGAAAAAAAAAAAAATAATCATTGAACACTTTCATCATCATACATAATCACTGTTGTTGCAGAGGTGCTCAGATACAAATGTTTAGTGTCCCTCCAAACAGCCAATATCCCAAACCCCTCCTTCAAAGTGCAGGCATTATACTACCCACCTCCAGGACTCGAGTCCGGCTAACCGGTTTCTCTGAATCCCTTCACAAAATATTACCCTGCTCGCACTCCCAACTCAAGTCCTCAAAAACGGTCTCTGTTCACTCTTAACATGCTCTCACATGCCTACTGTATGTCCAAGCCCCTTGCACACAAAACCTCTCTTACCCCCTCCCTTCATCCATCCTTTTGTAGGATAACACCTACCCCTCCTCCCTTCAACTACATGTTTATACACCCTCCAAGTCATCTGGTTTTGCTCCATCCTCTCTAAATCACCAAACTGCCTCAACAGTTCCTCCTCAACAATTCCTCCTCAACCATGTTCACTTCTTCCATAATTGGTAAACTGGTCTTCAGGCCTCCTTCTACCATGGTGGGCGTTGTTGGATGTCGGATACTACCCACCCCAACTATGAGGCTGGGCAGAGGGCCACCAAATTGGTGTACGGTGTTGAGCCAGACATGACGCGAGAGGGAGGGTCCATCCCTGTCACTTTGGTGCTGCAGGTAAAGACTTTGTTAGTTTGTGGGTTATTGCAGGTGACTGAACTGGAGGGCAGTGCTCCAGCTTGGAATGTAGATCCAAATCATGGTAACTTCCAAGCAGGCAGAAGAGCCACCATGTTAGTATATGGGGTTCAGCCTGATCTCACCAGAGAAGGCGGCTCAATCCCCATCACAATTACGCTGCAGGTGAGTAATAGTAGTCCTACCATTATTGAAAGTGTTAACTTTTGTCATAGAATTTTAACTATTCCATGTGAAAGGCTAATTGCATTGTCCTGTGTTCTTACTTTGTGTCCACTTGCAACTTGGTTCGATTATCACTTGTACAAAGCTCTGCTGGCCTTTTGAATTAAATTTTGAAGGTGCAGTTATCATGAAGTGTTGTGGTAGAAAATATCCTAGAAATTAACACTTTGAGCAGGGCTAGTAACTGACAGCATTTTTTTGGCATGTGGCTTTCACTGCTATTGCAAATGGTTACTGAGGTATATTACAGATAATATCTGTAATATACCTCAGTAACCATCTCCCAAGATAGGGAGGTAAAAAAAAAAAAAAGACCACCATCATTCAGTCACTGTCTTGCCAGAAGTATGCTAATATCATAATTGAAATGGCCCTCTGAATACAACATTTGACCCCTCTGAAGTGCATGCATTGCCCTTCCCACCTCCAGGACTCTAAGCTGACTGACAAGTTTTCCCCGAGTCCCTTTGTAAATGTCATCTTGTTTACTCTCAACCGTACATCCATTAAAAACATAGTATGCATCAGGCATTAATACACTATAAACCCATTTTAAGATTCTTCAGTAGCCGATTGAGACTAGATCACATTACATTGAAATGCTAGCAAGGTAATAAACCAAACTGTTAACTGCATTGATGTGCAACTTGAGAATTTTTGTTAGTGTCCTATTTAGTAAGTTCACAATTTTTACAAAGGTGATCATTTCAGAAGACATTGAAAAAATAGGAATTCTGAGAAGTTGAATGGAATTTTACAAAATATTTGGTAGGTGCTAATTACACTGTACTATCCAAAGTGTAACAGAAACAAACATAATTATGCAGCATTTGAAAGTTCTCATGAAAATGTATTTTTTTTTTTTTTTTTTTTTTTTTTTTTTCCAAAATTGATATGCAGGTCACCTGGAAATAAGATTAAGCATAAAATTAGATTTTCAGTGCTTGTTGCACTCTGCCCCCACAAGTTAGCCATCACTTCCAGAAGTTAGTATCTACCGATTCTTGACAGAATTAGAGATTTCAGCGACTCCCCAAAAACTAGATGTTGATTTGAATCTTGGGTACCAAAACCTACAAAAACTGTAAAGGCTCTGTGATCAAAAGTATATTTTAAATCACCAGTGCCACTCTAGTTTCTTAATTTCTGAGAGCATTTTTTATATTGCCTGAGCCTATGCATTTGAGTGAATGTTGCCTGGCACCACTGTGTGAGGACTGATTGCACTGTTAGTTCACCATATCTTGACACTGTCCTGTCTATCAGCAGGCATGCAGAATTCACTTTGATGACTCTGCTGCCACAACACACACTCACACTCTGACTTTGCTGACAGTCCCACCTTTGATGCAGACTTGATTTTTTAACAAACAAGCTTATTGCATCAACTTTGATTTTAAGTTTCCTTTTTCACTCTCCCCTACCCCCATTACTCTTATCCTTGAACGCTCCTGCCTCCTCATTCCTCTTCACCTTTGCATATCCGTACCTGCAATTCTGTATAACCCTTTCTGGTTGGATTATATGATTTAGTGAATGTTCTTTTTCTGCGTTAGTGCCTGGAAGCATGTTTGCAAAACTCAACAAAAATGAGAATAAGCTAAAGTACTGTTCAGCATCAATCTTGTGTGCACCCAAGTTAGAAATTTTTATGCAATAAGAATGACCAGCTTAGTATATTTAGGAAGTTGCTGAAGAATAATTCAAAATTGTTACTTGTTTCACCTACTAGAAATACATATAAACATACCTACTGATATGAATTACTGTGAATGATCTCTTAGGAAGTTACTGGCAAAAATGTAATTCTGCTGCCAATGGGAGCCTGTGATGACGGGGCCCACTCACAGAATGAGAAGATCAACATCCGTAACTACATTGAGGGAGTGAGTATTAATATTTACTTAACCTTTGAGTAAAGGGTTTTTTTGGTAATTGGCAAGGATTGTTGTAAGAATTAATTGAAATTTTTATATTTTGTGGCCTTAGCATACCACATTTAAAATTTCTTGAAAAATTGTGTGCAGGGATTATAATTCATCCCTTTGCCAGTTGTACTGTACATTATGAAATAAAATAAATTTGGATTAGTGTAAAAGACTGTCTAGATTGAGGTTTTGTTAGTAACTTAAGTATCCAGGTATTCATTCTAAAACTGCTGGAAACTTAAACTGGTATATGGTTCTGTACTGCATACTGAAGGTGGTATGCCACTTGTTCAATTTCTGTAGCTACAGATGGGTAATTGGAAATTGGTAGTAATGGCTATTTTCTGAAGTGATTGTTTATGGTCTAATTTTACTCAGTGGGAGTTGTTGTATCATCAGTTAACAAACACCTTTTTGCTTGTCTGTATTAACTAAGGAACATTGTTAATGTATAACAATTAGCAGTAGTCTTTTTAGACCAGAGTGGATTTTATTAAACACATCATGGGGGCATGTGCTAGAGGACTGCTGGATAATTTGTATGGAATTAATGACTGGTGAAGAGAAATGTGACCTTCAAAAGTATAGGAGGTTAAGACACTTGAATATTAATGGAGAGGTGATAGATTAAATAAAATCCAGAAGATGGCAAAAAATATGCCTATATTAACTTTATATTAATTAAATAGCAATAATAAAAATTGACTGCATTTCAACTATCTAAAATTTAATTTTAAATAAATTTCAGACAAAGCTTTTGGCTGCTTATTTGAATGAGGTAGCCCACGTTTGAAACATCTCCAGTTTTCCAACACTTCCATTCATCCACACCAGTATAACCAGAAGCTTCATGCAAACTAAGATGATTTCAAGCTATTTTAATGCAGTTCTATACATTATTTGTAGTTGCATGATTGATGATACTGATAAATTGAGTCTGTATAAGTTGTATTATATTGCTTTTATCAATTCCTGAAAAGTAATGGTACAAAGTCTGTGATTTCATTGTAATTTTTCAATGCAGCTTATGGTCCTTTTTTTTTTTTTATCATTGTCAGTAAAATTGTATGGCCTTTAAACTCAGGACAGTTATCTGCATTAATTGTTGCAACTGGCTGTGATGATCTTTATATGGTTCTTGGTTGGTACTGAGGTGAAGGATGTAGACAAGAATTCAACCTATTTTCATTACCATCTGCCTTGTGTAGTTTTCATAATATGGTATGTGGCAGTTTTATCTTTATTTTTTTTTTCTAATTCACTGATATGTATGTTTATTTTAATGTCCTTTGTAATTTAATTTACATTATTTTGTATTGCTATACAGTACCAATATATTTGTGTTCCCTGTGTGACCATGACACCCATATGCATCTCTGGACACCCTTGATGCTAATGAAGTGTTTTTCCAAGTTTTAGCATTGAAATTGGGCTCTAATTTGGTCATAACAGTGTCTGCACTCTGAAGGAAGGGTGTTAATGTTGCAGTTTTATAACTGTAGTGTAGAGCACCCATCTGGCAAGAGAGTGATGGAGTGAATGATGAAAGTTTTTCTTTTTCAGGCCACCCTGCCTTGGTGGGAATCGGCCAATATGTTAATAAATAAAAAAAATTGACAATGAGCTCATCATATTTGTCATACAATGTTGAATGGGAACAATAATTAAATACTTGGTATTTACTTTGCCTTACAGGGTTTTATTTCAATCAAACTTGTTTTGCACAAATTTCCTTGGGTGATTTACAGGTATTTACTGTACAGGAAAGCCTTGCTGAATAAGACATTTTATATATGAACTGTATTCAAAACATTCCTGTACAGAGAACTGAGCTTAATAGGTAACTACTAATTTTTTTTCCCTGTTCATTATTTGTATCAATGAGCCAAGGAAGAATTGCCAGAGGTGGAAGATGGCATAGTGTAGAGATGAGAGTAGGTGTAAAAATACAGCAGCCTGTATTAGAAAGCAAGGGTATGGCAATATATTTTCTTAAAATCCAGGATGCCATGGACATGAGACTACTAAGGAATGTTGTTGAATGTGTGACCTTGCTGTTGAAGAAAATGAAGATGGTAAGAGATGCAGTTATGAGGAGAGAGAGAGTGAAGAGGGGATTTTTTGAATTGAAAAATGTTGAAAATAAAAGTATTGAAATAAAAACATTTTTTTTTTATCTAGGTAACCCCTTGAGGGAGGTGCCTTGATGCTGGTAAAGAGCTCTTCATCAAAGGAAATGGACCTATCCTCCCTTAACTTGGATCAGACCTGATTGCCTCATTCTTCAGGCACTGTATGATCCCTTTGAGTTTAATGTTTCCTAAATATATAATTTATGTAGTATTTCTACATCATCCTCTTTAAGGGGGGCTCCTTGACATGGCAAAAAGGCTCTTGGTCTCAGGAATCAAATCCTTTGGTCTCCTTCAGTTGAAGTAACCCTCCCCCAATCTTCCCTTCCTCCCCATAACCCTCCTTCCCTATCCCTTCCTCCCCATAACCCCCTTTCCCTTCCTCCCCATAACCCCCTTCCCTTCCCCATACCCCCTTCCTATCCCTCTCCCCATCCTTCCTCCATACCCCCCTTCCCTATCCCTTCCTCCCCATACCCCCCCCTTTTTTTCCCTTCTCTCAACCTTCCCCTTTTTCCCCGTCCCATTTGTAGCCTCTGAAGTCCTCCCCTCTGGCATTACGGTTTCTAGGTGAGGGGCGTGCTGGGGTTTGTTCCCCTCTGTGAGGTCCCTTGGGGGGGGTGCAGTTTGCGTGGAATCTGAATTGTCTGAGGATGCCCTGCTCCCTTCCTGGATTTCTGGGTCATGGGCGGGGTGCCCTTTAGATGGGTGTATCTCCGGAAGCTGCCTGTCGGTTCTGGGGGGTGGCAGCCGAAGGAGGTATGCTTTGTGGCAGGTTTCTGACAGTCCTTTCTTTTATCCACCGAGGTAGCTCGGTGGATGTGAGGATGCTATCCCAGAGCACTGGTTTATTGGCATGAGAGGTAGGGTATGACATGGGCTCCGTGCTGCTCTTCACTGCCAGTGGGCTCGAGGCCCATTCGGATGAGGGGAGAAGCTTTCGACCCCTCCATACCTCCTAGCGACTGTCCCTCTTTTTTTTTTTTTTTTTTTTTTTTTTTTTTTTTTTTTCTTAAAATAACAAGAAAGAAGATACAGTGGACCCTCTGTTTTTATCGATCTCCGTTATCGCCAATTTCAGTTTTGGCCAACTGTTTTCATCAATTTTTTGGTTCCATTTTTGTCGATTACCTCCGCTTTCATCAATCAAATGGAACGTGTCCAGTGCCCAGCACGCAGACAAAGCCGCCTCCCACACGCATTCGCAGCCAGTGTAGTGTTATTTCTCGGTGAGTGAACATATCCTGCCAGGTCATACAAAACATTTTGTAATAATTCATTGTTTTTGCCACTTGTTTTTTGTGTGTGACTGCTTAATAAGCCACCATGGGCCCAAAGAAAGCTTCTAGTGCCAGTCTTTTGGTAAAGAATGTGAGAAACATAATATAATTCAAGAAAAAGTTTGTAGAAAAATTATGAAAGTGGTGATGGTGGTTGTGATGGTGGTAGTGGTAGCAATGCTGGTAGAGGGTGATAGTGGTTGTGATGCTGGTAGAGGGTGCCTTCTTCAGTGATTCAGCAATTCTACTAACTCCTCCAATGTTGTTAGGGCTACAGAAAACACCTGCCTCAGCTGCAGCCTTCACCAACATTATGTATGGCTTATGCTCACAGTGGCCTGTATACACCCAACAACAACAGAACACCTGTTACATATATAATAATTTATTTTATTCATTCTAGAGTATGTCATATTTCTATGTTATTAATATTGTTTATTATGTCATATTAGTTGAATTATGATTGATAAATAATCCGTAGAGTTGAGATCGTGTCATACTCTCCAACAATAAACTCCCCTCCACCCGATCTGCCATACACCAACAAGTCCTTTCAATAAAGTTAAGTGTGATGTTAAATGTTCATTTATACATTTTATAAGTGCTTTATATTTGTCATTCTTTTCTGCATGTAAATCTGTAAGCTAAGGAAGTGACCCCTGGTAAGGCCTTGGTACCTAAAGTCCTTATAGAGGGGCATTCCCTTTCCAAACAATAACCTCTCTTCCCTCTCCCCTCCTCCCTGTCTTCCATCCATCAGCAACAGCATTCAATAAAGGTAAGTGTCATGTGTAATGTTTACTCTTTTGTGCATATAAATCTACAAGGTAAATTTTTTTTTTTTTTTTTTTTTTTTTTTTTTTTTTTTTTTTTTTTTTTTTTTTGACACTTCTGGGTGTTTGGAACGAATTAATTCCATTTACATCATTTCTTATGGGGAAAATGGTTTCGTTTTTGGCCGATGGCTCTGAAACTGATTAAACACGAAAACCGAGGGTCCACTGTATTACAGAAGATGCACCTATTATTATGGAGTCTTCGCCCTGTGAAACCCTTCCTCCTCCCAGGCCCCATTCTGATCCCACACCCTGTTCTGACTTGGCTTCATTAGCAGACTATTCTCTTGACTCTTCTCATTCCCCTGTACCTTCTGCTGATGAGGACTCATCATTTGCTGCAGCGTCGCCCATTTCTCTCCATGCTGCTTCTTCTAGCATACCTTTCACAATGCATCCAGCTTCCCCGAATATGGTGCGATGGTTCTTGGATTGCTCACCTCTCTCGGGTCAGACCACCCATGGTTCTACTCCTAAGCATCCAAGACAGCCTACTTATGACAGTTCGTTGATGACCACTCAAAAACAACCTACACAACACTCGCTGCCTTTGCGTACCGGACTAACGAGTACGCAATGGACAAAATTCTTTTCTTTACAAATGACATCTCAAACTGATTATCTTTCTGATCATAGAATTGGTAAAACACTTTTACGGCACATTGGCCAAAATGTATCCTTCCACGCTCTTCGAATTGGTGCGCGTGTCATAACAGCATTGTGCAGAGTGATTTTTTTTGTCTTGCGGCGAGGATATTTTAGAACAACCCTTCAGGACGTCCCTATTCTTAAGGTAGATACGTACATTCTGCCTGCTCATGGGCGGAGGCGTTTTCCTAGTAACATCGCTCATTTAACCTTTGACTGCCGTGAACTTCCGTCCTGTTTATATTGCGGGACATCACCTAGAGATCCATCAACTACAGTGGACCCCCAGGTTAAGTCATCGGAATAAATAATATTCGGAATAAGTAATGTTTTTTCTTCAAAATATTGGTTTGGTGAATGTCGCTGAACTCGATACAAGTCATTTGTACACTCCATGTACAGCCAGTGTGCCGTTGTTTACCAGTAAGTGAGGACGATTCCACGCGTTCATACGATACATTTTGTATTGTTCCATTATTTTTAGTGCTTGTAACTGCTTATTAAGCCACCCTGGGTGCAAAGATAGCTAGTGCCAGCCAGCCCTTTGGTAAAGGACAGAGAGAGGGGAGAATGTGCCTTTCCTTTTTCAGAGATTCTGCAATATGTACGATACTAAAGCGGCAAGATTCTATAAAGGCAATAGCGCCAGCCAGCGATAAAGTGTAGCATTATCAGTGTAGCAAGCAAGTTAAGCGATTAATTGACAGAAAAAGGACAGCACGAAACCGACTTCTCCATTGTTCTTGGAGGTATATAGGGCTACTGACTAACACCGCCACCTCTGCTGCCGCCTTCACCACCATGTAAAGCTTATCTTTCAATGGCCCTTATACACCCAACAACAATGATGATGATGATGTTTTATTTATGTATCAACTTTTTGCTGATGATACTGTGCTTATGGGAGATTCTAAAGAAAAATTGCAAAGGTTAGTGGATGAGTTTGAGAATGTGTGTAAAGGTAGAAAGTTGAAAGTGAACATAGAAAAGAGTAAGGTGATGAGGGTATCAAATGATTTAGATAAAGAAAAATTGGGGAGGAGGAGTATGGAAGAAGTGAATGTTTTCAGATACTTGGGAGTTGACGTGTCGGCGGATGGATTTATGAAGGATGAGGTTAATCATAGAATTGATGAGGGAAAAAAGGTGAGTGGTGCGTTGAGGTATATGTGGAGTCAAAAAACGTTATCTATGGAGGCAAAGAAGGGAATGTATGAAAGCATAGTAGTACCAACACTCTTATATGGATGTGAAGCTTGGGTGGTAAAATGCAGCAGCGAGGAGACGGTTGGAGGCAGTGGAGATGTCCTGTCTAAGGGCAATGTGTGGTGTAAAAAATTATGCAGAAAAAATTTGGAGTGTGGAAATTAGGAGAAAGGGGTGGAGTTAATAAAACATTAGTCAGAGGGCAGAAGAGGGGGTTGTTGAGGTGGTTTGGTCATTTAGAGAGAATGGAAACAAAGTAGAATGACATGGAAAGCATTAAATCTATAGGGGAAGGAAAGAGGGGTAGGGGTCGTCTCGAAAGGGTTGGAAAGAGGGGGTAAAGGAGGTTTTGTGGGTGAGGGGCTTGGACTTTCCCGCAAGCGTGCATGAGCGTGTTTTGATAGGAGTGAATGGAGCGAATGATACTTGGGACCTGACGATCTGTTGGAGTGTGAGCAGGGTAATATTTAGTGAAGGGGGTTCAGGGAAACCGGTTATTTTTCTATAGTCGGACTTGAGTCCTGGAAATGGGAAGTACAATGCCTGCACTTTAAAAGGGGGGGTTTGGGATATTGGCAGTTTGGAGGGATGTGTTGTGTATCTCTATACGTGTATGCTTCTAGGTGTTGTATTCTGAGCACCTCTGCAAAAGCAGTGATGGTGTGTGGGTGTGGTGAAAGTGTTGAATGGTGATGAAAGTGTTTTCTTTTTGGGGATTTTCTTTTTTTTTTGGGTCACCCTGCCTTGGTGGGAGGGCGGCCGACTTGTTGAAAAAAAAAAATCATTGTTTTCTGTGTAGGTAAA